CTCTTTAGGTTGAATGATAATATCTTTTGAGAAGCAAGGCTATGTGAGAGTCATTATTAACGTGAACCCTATTCATATCACTGCGGGAAAATTCCAGTACCAGTCCGTCAGCAACTTGACCGAAATATGGTTATTTCAATTGTTATTCAAAAGTGAGCCATCGCCTGTCAGTTTTCACCTGAATCTAAGGACATTGCCTCGGAGTCAGTGTCAGCAGGAATATTCCAGTAGAGCTAACCGACAGGTGAATAAGAGAAATCTTATGCTGAGATCGAGCTTCGAATCTCTCGCACATTTTCGCTAGAGATTAAAGAATCTACAAAAATGTTAAATCAAGAGACTAATCGAAATGGAATTATTTTTAGTACATACAAATAAATGTATAGTGTCTCCTATGGTTAAATGAATGCGAAAAGTGCATTATGAATAAAATTTTCTAATTGTATTGCGATCTTTTCAACAGACAATTAAAGCGAAAGCATGATAATGTATTAAAGTTCAATTCACTCATCGAGACCGTGCTCCAGTCTCATCTTCAAATCAGTCTCCTTAATAACTCAACTGGATTATAATCGTGTACATAAGGGTTGAGAGGCAGCATTGACAATACCATTTTTGCCTAAACCAAAATATTTTGTAAGAAGAGCTACTGAGTTAATTGGATTCCCTCACAACGACGATCACAAAGACACTTATCAGACCTCCACACCCTCGCACTTCTCTATTAGACTCGTGGGCAATCTCGTCTAAAACTTCGCTAATGCCCTGTCTCCCCGTATCCTTACTCCAGGCCATCGGAACAGCACCTTTTCCCAACTGATTTTCTGATGTCGGACACTCCGGCAGCCAGGACGTCGAACAAAGCGGTGCTCGCTCCTTCAACAAACTCATGCGCTTACAACACCTAATCTTGTTCACTTCCTTGTTCGGATATTCTCCTTGCCACACTTATTCGCCTACCCAATATCTGGTCTTCTATCTTTCAATTTGGTCCAGGTCTCATAAAATTCACATACAGGTCACGAAAATGTCAATCCACTTTTTCTCCTCCTTGAAACTTAGACTCCACCGGAAACAGGAGGATTGTTCAATCCATGTGAACTTTGATTGAAGGCCAATTGTTCCGTCACTCTGATCCATCAGTCTCGTCATTGAAAGCATCGTAGAAATGTGAAATTAGGTTGACCAAATGCCTGAGCCATGAATGGTCGCCGACTGGGAAGCTTCGAAACACATATTTTCCTCATAAATATCTCTTCATACATATCTCTACACTTTTTCCCATTCCATTTCTTTTCCTCGTCGGTCTTAGGAGCCGTTCCATCTTCGCGTAGTTGAACTCCTATAAACCATGCTTTGATTCCGAGACGGGGGAACTTGTGGAATTTACTGATTGCTTTCGTTTTTGCCCTAAATACCTGTCCCAATCTGGTTCTTCTGGGTGCAACTTTTATTGAGGTCATGCTATTTAGGGCCGATGCCATCAAAAGAT